AAACCCAAAATAATCTATCCCCCCTTGCAATGAGGCCTAAGACCCAGAATTAAGTAGACACGGGGGGGGGTGTACCAAAAGTATGTCTCTAGGATATTCTGATGTTGGGGTTAGGCTGTGGCCTTCAACTTCTTGCGCTTAGGAGCCCCTTAGATGGGCCGAACCTTTTACGGAATGAACCGTGTCAGAAGTAGATGCTGGTCTTGAAAAGGACCGTGACAAACACCTTGTTTTGGTGTGATCGCACCCCACGCCGCGCACGACGAATTCGGCCGCTCGTGAAGAGCTTCTGCGGCAAGATTCAGTCGGGCCCTGCTGAGATGCGATGCGCTGACTGTAACCTGGAGAAAAAGAGTGGCTGCGATTCGCCCTCAGGCGGACTCCGAGGATCGGCCAAGCCACAAAGTCTTTCAAAACGCTTCTTCGCTTCTCGCAAGACCTGCCTCTGATAGCTGTTGTATTTGTTCTGTTCCAGCTCGAGCTTCATGACTTGGACGCTTCACCAGTGCATGCCTGTCGCCGCGAGCCATCTGTGACTCGACGGGTTGCACAACATCAAATGTCTTCGCTGGGTCATTGCCCAGGAGGTGATGCTGCGCGTGCATGGTACGCAACCGCGACCAGGGGTCAGAGAAGCAGCACTGAACAAAAAGGACCAGCGAGAACCCCGTGAGTACAGACCAGTGCGTCACTGCTTGCGGATTTTTAGCCGCAATACCGGGAGCTACGATAAAATCGAACACTGCAACGCTGAAGGCACTGAAGCACTCGAAGTCATTTGCGAAAGAATTGAGGACACCCACGGCCTGCCCAACACAAAGTCCAAGATTTGGGACTTGTGAATTGACGGCACCATGTCGTCTGTTTCTTCTTCATTGCAAACTCAGTCTGAGTTATCCGCTCGCGGTCCGGGACGTCCAGAAGCTTTACGGCCCAACCTCCATGAGCATGTTTGGAACCAGCTTGTGGCCTTTCGCGGCTGCCCAGGAAATTGCTTTCATGCCAGCATGGTCTCTCTGGACAACGCTTGCAAGCCGGGAGAGCAACCACGGCACTGTCCTCCTTTTTCCCACTCAAGTATGCCGGGAATGCCCTGGCAGCTCGTCTGTCGACATCCGGCTCTTCCGCGCTGACCCCAAGTAAATACGTCCATCCCATAATAGGAGAGCTGTCTTGCTTCGCAGCCACGACGAAAGGGCACCCGTCCTTGTACCTCAGCCACAGCAAGGCTCGACTGGCTCGTGGCATTGCATCTAGACCTGTCATGTGGGAAGACGTCGCTATAAAACGCACTGGACATCCCCAGAATGTCGGGGCGCACGCATTGCAACACTTGTCTGGGCGCATGTCCACCCTGAAATACTCGGCGCAGCGCAGAGCGTCGTTGCCAAGATAGTCTGGCCATCCACTCTGTAGCCGTGAGCAAGCCTCTCCATCACTGCCTCAGAATTTTGTTACGCAACGGCACGTGCTTCTCAACCATCAATGCCTTGTATCTTAGAACGCCGTATTGCTAAATGCTGAAAGAAGACATTCGTCTTGTGAGTATAGTACATCCTTTTCAAAAATTCTGATCACTTGAGCCCTGGCAGCCTCAACAAGCAGGGGTGAGCAAGTCAGAGATGCAGATGACCACTATCTCCCAGAAGGTCTTTTCATCCTCGATAGCCAGGATCGGCTTAGCCTGCACCGGCGGCTGCTCCCTTGCCGCAAGCACCACTGGCGTTTCCAGCTCGAAAAGGAAAGCGTCAGCGGAGAACGCCATGGCTTCGACTTTCAAAATTTCTAGGGCTGAGGAACCACAGAATCTTCAGGACAGGCAGGCATGTTGCATGCATGCCAGCAAAACACAGAGCATGGTAGTGACTTTTGCTTCAATTAGTTGGTTGTTCAACTGAAGATCATTGCACGCACTAAAGCCCGCTTCATTTTAGCTCCAAGGGGCCCCTGAGTCGCAACAGCCGCAGTTGACATGTGCTTAAGTGACAGGTCGTGAGGAACACAAGATGCACCTATACAATCCCCTTCCGACTGTCACATCAGCGCTCTACATGCGTGCTCAGGCCCCCGATCTCGCTTTCGAAATCGTCGGTTGGCAAAGTTGCCAAGACACTGGCCTCCTGGGATTCTTTGGCCCGTCGGAGCCTCTGCTGCTTCCGGGCACTAACGAACTCCTCGTTAAACCTAACAATCCATGCCTTTCGGGCATGGTAAAGAGCAGCTACCTTAAAGGCTTCAGAAGTTGCCTTCGTCAAGCAGTCTGCCAAGTTCATGTCCGAGGGAACCCAGGTGAGATAGCACTTGCCATCTTCTCGCACGCCCTTTTGAATGGCGCTGGCCTCCACGCCAGTTCCAAGCAACGGTGAGTCTGACGATGAAATGGCATCGTAGAGCCCTCTGCTGTCTGTTACCAGCAACGACTCCGTCTTTGACGCCAGCTCCTTGGCGTGGCGCATGTCAGCTCTTGGCCGTTGATCAGGGCCCAGAAAAGCCTGCATTTCCATCCCTTGTCCTCGGCCTCGTAGACGCCTTGGCATTCGGAACCATTCGTTCCTTTGACCGGTCTATCCAGTTTCCAGGATCGCCAGTCCATGGCTTGAGGATGTCGGGGTCTGCGAAGCAGGTGATGTAGCCGCCGGTGGCCCCACCATCAGGCCTATTATTATGGCCCGCATCTCCAAAGTGGACGGCGACGATCTGGTCCCAAGTCAGGTCCATGTAGTTAAAGGAGTGGAAAACCAGGTCCTCCTTCGCAGTCTTCCTCAGCTCTTTCATGAGACTGTTTGCCTCACGGAGGTTGCTCAGCGTGGCTTGGTTGACTGCCGATGCCGCGATGCCTACTCGAGCTGAGTACATAATGAGGCCTCTGTACTGCGAAATCTCCTTTGATGCCAGCGGCGCGCTGTCTCCACGGGACTTGTCGTCGCTGATCTCGATGGGCACCAGGGTGTTGCAGTAGGTCTCCTGGGTCACACGGATCTCGAAGTTCTTCATCTGCCGGATTTCCAAGCCTGCAAAGGTGAAGCTTCCGGTTCTCCACGGGGACCACGCACACATGCCTCGGATCTTTTCGCGCAGGGCCATGAACTCCGGATCACCATGGTCGCCACTGATGATGAAGTCGTCCACGTGGGTGCCGACTCGGACGATGACCTTGCCGGACCGGTTCTTGAATATCCAGAGGCATCGGTCTATGTCGCGCGGTCGTCCGCCCAGGGATCTAATTTTGGCATCCACGTCCAGCCAGAAGATCCGTGGTGCATTGGTAAGTCCATAGACAGCACCAACCACCTCCATCAAAGCCCCTGGGGCCAGTCCCAAGGCCATTGCCAACTCGGGAACTCCCCGGGCGAACAGCTGGCTTGTAAAAATGCCGATTTGGCATCAGCACACTCGATGGTGCGCTTGTCGAAGGCTGCTGCTTGAAGCAGCATGTTCCGACCAAGTCGACTCAGAGTAGGTGAGGCGGTGAGAAGTTCTGGCTGCCCTGTCCTTGTATTCCTCCTCGCAAGGTCCGGGCGCTTGTACCCGATGAGCACCACGCGCGCCTTTGCCTTGGACTTGCCGTCGGCGCTGCTGACCTCGTTCTCGGAACTTGTTGGCGGTTGTCCGTCTGGAACCGGTTTCCATGTCAGGATCCATCGCATTGGGATAATGCGATCCTTGACTTCCTCCTCCGACAGCCCTTCTTGATCTCAGGACTTCCGAGATCTCTCTCGCCATGGCCTCGTCCATGCGCTTGCGGTCCGCACGTCCGAGCTTCCGGTAGTTGACCTCCTTGTTGCTTGCCATCTTGTTCTTGGCGTAGGTCGCTCCTGAAGCTACGCATGCCTGCAGGTCATCCACGTCGAACTCTATGACCATCGCCTCCTCCTGGTTCTCGCAAGCCCGACGGATCGCCTTGATGAGGTCCTTCTCTTCCTGGCGCAGTCGGTGTATTTCCAAACGGAGGCTGTTCAACTTGATGCCCTGGTCCGTGTCATTCTGGAGCTGCTCTATCCGCTTCTTGACAAGCATGATGGTCTCGTTGTCAAGGTTGGCCGACTTGTCTGCCTCGGTCAGGCTAAACACTTCTGGTCTAAAGTCGCTAGAGGCCCCAGGCGTCGCGGATGGAGTTGATGAAGTCGCTGATTCTGGTCTGTCTCCTAAATCAGCTGCTGCTGCTGGTTGTTGTGAGGTAGTTGCCCCAGGCGTCGCGGATGGAGTTGAAGAAGTCGATGATTCTGGTTTGTCTCGGCCCCGCCTTTCCTTTGACTCACTTGTCGCCCGCTTCTTCTTCGTAGTCGGCTCCGGCGGTTCCTCGAACTCCTTGCGCTTGGGCGCCAAGACGTCGTAGCCCTCTTTGTACTCGACATGAGTGCTTCCTTTCCATTTCTTCATGTACACTCTGTCGGCCGGTGCCCTTGCGCTGATCCACTTGTCGACGAAGCTTCCAACACCTCCTTGAGGATCCAACCACTTCGTGACTCGCTTGCCTGTGAACTGGTCCGCCGGCACAGGACAGGAAGCCAAAGAGGTCGGTACGAACATCCGACTTCTCCAGGAGTTGCGGCGCCGGATCAGCACGCGATTCTCAGTGTCGAGCTCCCAAGTGTCCGGGGTCTCACCGTGCTGGATGCTTTCTGGCATCCGTTGCAGTTTGGGAAGTCCTTCCAAACGCCGAGCTGCATTGGCAGACGCCATCTGCTGCCACTTCGCGATCTGCTCCTGGACGGTGGTCCTCGCTGGCGCTCGCTCGGCTGACCTGCTCCTCGACGTTCTCCTCCTCGAGGCCTGGTCCCTTGCTGAAAGTCGTTCTGACCAAGCGTCCATCGCGTCCTGGAGCGAATCTTCCCACTCGTGCGCAGGTTGTGCTTCTGAAAGTCCTGGTTGAGGATCAGGCGCGCCACCAGGAGCAGGTTCTTCAGGCAGTGCGTCCTCGTACTCGAACTCGGTGGAGAAGGGTTCCTTCATGACGTCCACGAAACGCTTCAGCCCCTTCATGATGTCCTGCACCGGTCGGATGACGACGTTGCCCTTCGCCATCAGCTCGGTGATCACCTCCTGCTCGCTGGCCATCCTTAGTTGTTCCGGGGCGCATCGTCACAAGGGTGTGCCCATCAGGACCCAGACCACAGAGACACGTCCATCTGGCAGCACTGGTAACTCAAGCATTGCCACTCTGGGGTTGACAGTTGTTGGTCCCCTGGCTCGCCTGGCTTTCAACGTGGCATTCCTCCAAACGCACACCCAGTCACCAGGCTGGTAGTCCAGGACTGGTCGGCGCAGCGTCATGCAGGCGAGTGAACGTCTCGCGGGCGAGCTCCTGCTTGTGGATCTCTTCGGCCCGTGCGCGCCACCTTTGCTGCTGCCAGAAGCCTTCCGGTCGTTCGCCCCGATTCTTGTTCACCTCCAGCGGGTCCGCGTCCTGCCTTGGGTTGGAACCAAACGCCCATTGTATTGGCGAAAAACCCTTGACAACCTCTGTCTGGTTGTGCGCAGAAGCCGCCAAATGTCCACAAAGTCGAGCGGGGAGCTCCGTGTTCTCGTTCCTCAGCCTGCGCATAATGTGCTTCACAGACTTGACCGCAGTCTCGACCGCTCCATTCTGCCAGTGAGCCTCCCCAGGCGTAGTGGGGAGGCCGCGTCCGATCATGCCACAGAACTCCGCGAAGTCGCCCTTTGCCAACGACGATTGGGGATCCGTTAGAATCCACTCTGGCTTCGGCCGATGTTGGAGCCAGGAGCCCGCGAAGGTCTCGACTAGGAGTTGCCCAGGGTCAGTGCCCGATTCGTTCATGGGCCCTTCCCAGAGCATCTCCACCCACACCAGGCGCATGACCAAGCAGATCGCGAGGAGGTACCTTGCCTTGCGTCGGTTGCGGGAACACCAACTCAAACACGTCCATGCCAAGCATCTGCCACGGCTGGGGCTTCGTCCCCACGGAGTGTGGAACCACCATGTTGCCGCCGCGCTTGGTGTCCAGACAGGCCTGGCACTTCAGACCCAGCGTGGCATTCCTCGATCTCGACAGATCCTGGCCAGGGCTCGATTCGATGGGTGTCCGGCTGCCTTGTGCAACTTGGTCAGCAAAGCCCGACCTTGTTCTCGCATCTCCTCTGTCACCTCGCCCTTGTCCGGCACGTCGAGGTTCATGTCGGCGTCATTCTCGATCTGCTGGGCTGCCGCAATCACTTCCGGGGCGCCATGTTCCTCCCTGAACTTCATGTACTGGCTCTTCCAAAGCCTTGCCACGTTCTCAGTCATCTTCTCTGGGTACACGGCGTGGTTGACGAACATCTCGGCGCGGGGATCCGGGCGCTCGAGCTCTCGGTGCCCATGTGAACGGTCGCACACCACGTGCATCTTCGTGGAACTGCCGGTCATTGTGGATCACCGTGAACTGCTTCTTAATGAGATCCCGGTCCCAGAGCTCATCCCAACCATGCAGCCATCAATCAGGGTTCGGAACGTGGATCCATGTCGTCCAAGCAGTGTCTTGAACTTCCTTGCCGCCGCCGTTCCCCACGATGTAGAGGTCGAAGACATTTCCAGGCACACACGCCGAAGGTCTCCGCCTTTAAGGATGCCCTCCGTCAGGCGGTTCACGTTGTCCAGTCGCCTTCATCTGCCTCTTCCGCAAAGCTGCCGGGGAAACAGGTTCGGTGGCGGGAAGAACACATGCTGGAGAGAACAGTGTGTCTTCCATGGCGTTTGCTCCCCGATCTCCTTGAGCATCTTGTCCACATCGGCCGACTTCATGAGGTCATAGCCGGCCCCGATCGTCTTGTTGTGAACGTCCACACGCTTTTCCAAAATTGCCATCAGTTCTGCCTGTGACCTCCCAGGCACGCAAGGGTTGCAAGGCGTCCAAAATGGCCGCCATGTCGAATTCATTCGCTGCGTCACGCAGCTTTTGTGCCGTGGAGGCTGGCAGGGGCTCATCTTCTTGCTTCCATGGTTCCACGAAGTCCATGTCCTGCACCTCGTTGTCTTGGCCCCTCGCCTCGACGGTGTCCATCACTTCCGCTTGGCCGTCACCAGCTCGACGCGGTCTTCGCCTCCGCTGTCGCCTTCTTGAGGCGCTTCTCCTTCACGTCCTTGGCCGCCAGCGTCTCGGCCTCCCAGCCAGCCATGCGTCGAGAGCCTCCACCACATTCTGGGGAAGGTTGGTCCGGGCGCTCTCCCCAGGTGCTCCTTTGGCTGGGGCGCACTCCGTCCAGCAGCCGTATCGGTTCGCTCGGAGGTGTAGCGGCGCGTCCCTGGCATGGCCACTTGTAGCGGGGGTCCCGGGTATCCGGGTTTTGCTGGCGAGTGTAGTCGAACTCTGTCTTCTCCCCGCTTCCACGGCTGCGCCCCTTGCCCTTGGCCGGGCGTGCTTGCTTCATCTCCTCCGCCACGACTTCTCGAACGGCTTCCCGGATCGTTGCCTTCATGTCGGTGCTCACCGCGTCGCTGCCAGGGCAGGTTTGCTCTAGCATGTCGCCTGAGCCAAAGACATAGCGCAGCTCATCGATCGACAAACCTAGCTCAACTGCTTTCCATCTCCGAGCGCTCTTCCGTCTGGAGTTCTAACATGTAGCTGTGCTGTGTGGCTTCAGGCGCTGCAAATCGAACGGTTCGTGATGCGGAGGTCTGGTTCTTGGGGACCCACTTGTATGTTGTTTTGGCTGCCTGCTGTCGGTACGTACTTGCCGATGTCGTTGGAGGCCTAGTGGGTGGCTCGCTTGCTGCCTTGTGTCTGACGATGTCGCTTGCTATGGGCTGGTTGTGGCTGAAGACATGCTCTGCTATGTCCATGACCAAATGTCCTTTTGGGGTCTTCCTAAGCTGCACCATGCGCCCATCCACCAGACATCTTCCCCGAGCACAACCTATAAAGGCATCCAAGGACTTGAGCTCACGCATGCCAACCAACACAGGTACCCCTTCACTAGGTAAAGCGAAGATGCTGAACGCAACGTTGCCACGAACCAAATCCACCTTGAAAAGAGCCCTTCCCCACTTCCCACTGCCGCACCGAAAGTATGGTCTCTCGCGCTCATGGATCACAATCTTGGTGTCAGGTCTTGCGGCGGCTACGGCTGCACAAAGCTTTTTCACAGCATCCTGGCCTCCGACCGTCGCTGTGGCCCCGGTATCTATCAAGCCTTCAGAAGCTGCCAAAGCGCTGCCCTCAGACCTGGCCTCGTGCTCGGAAGTGGCGAAGAACTCGACGCCGGCCTCCACGTGGTACTTGGAAAACTGCTTGCCCTTCTTAGTTGGCCTCCTCCAGCATCTTTGCGCCCTTCTTGCCCTTGTTGCGGGGGCCCTTGGCCTTGCCGCTGCCCTTGCTCATGTAAGCCGAGGTTGGCTTGGGCTGTCGCTGTTGTACGTTGCCCCAGCCACGGTCTCGTGCCGCAGCCGCCACGGCTCGTCTTGCTTCAGCCAGGTTGCGGTCGTTCTCGGCAATCATCGCCTCCAGCTCCTTCTTCTGGTCCTCGAAGTCCTTCTGCTCGCCCTTGAGGCTGGCGAACACTTCGTCCGACGGCACCTCGCCGCCTTCCTCGTCTGGAGGCCACTCTTGCCATTCTGCATTGGGCTCTGGTTCTTGGTAATAACCCCAATGGCTAGGGTCATACCATTCACCTTGTGCTTCAGGTTCGAGCCAGGCGTTCTGGTAGTGGAGGTAGGCGGCGTCCGTGTACCCAGTGATTCCATTATTCCTTAATTAATCCAACATTGCTTAAAAATTTTGGTTCATCGCTAATTAGCGAGAATTATATCTTAATTAGAGCGTATTTTTTTAAGAAGTAATTTTAAAATTATTTGCTAATTAAAGGGTAATTCTCCTTAGTTAAGAAGATTATTCCTTAATTAAGGTGATCGACGTTTTTTAAGGAATGCTTTTTTTGATAATTAATATTCCTTAAAACATCGTTAAGGAATAATAATTTAAGAGGTAATTTTTGGTTGATAATTCATTTTTGTTTGTAGAGAATTTATTAGGATTTTCATGTTGCGTGATCAATGAGGTGCTTACGTGTCATGTAAGAGAATTGCAGTGCTCATGCATGAGCCGTTTGGTGATGTGTGCGGTTGTGCGATTGCATGCAACATGTGGAAGTTTTCCGGGCTCATGGATCATACGTGATTTGCAAGAATTTTAGATAGGCCATGGCTGCACCTCGAAGGTCGAACACAGCCAGCTTGTCAGACATACAGCCCATACTGAAGGCATCCTTGCCTGCAAATTTGGATGGTGATTTTGAGTACCCACAGGGCCTGACAGATTTCATTGTGGAGTTCGAAAGTCTTCTGAGACAGCTCTTGTGCGCAACGCCGAGGGTGACTCAAACTTTGATCGAGCAGGCCTTGTTGAAGAGTTTTCAGTCGGTGGAAGCTTCTAAGGCAACAGGATTTGCAAAGCAAATTGCTGCTGCAGCCCAGCATGTGTGGCAGAAGATGCATCAGACTACATCAGGAAAAAAACTCCCAGACGCAGTTTTGAGGCTTGTGCAGGTGGTTCGCAAGCAGTGGCCTCAGTTGGCTCCTGCAGCCATGCCGAGAAAACCGTTGCCGATAGTGTCCCAGGACGCAAGTTCGCGGCCTGCTGATGGAAAGTTCCTGCAGCAGACTCGGGAGTCGCGAGCTTTGAAAAAGCGCCAGAGCGAAACTGAGGAAGCTGACTTGAAGAAGCTTAGGGCTGCGTACAGCCTGGAGGTTAGCCAGCCCTGCTGCAGCAGGAGCCTGCAGAGGACGATTTCAGTTTCGTCAGACGATGGTGCTGCCGAAGTGGTTCCCAGTGCTGCCAGTGCTGCAAGTGCTGGTTGCAAGCCAGAGGCCTGGCACGTGGAGCACACCTACATGAACTCTGCCACAGGCACAATTGTTCGCAACCTTGCAGGAGCCGAGGTTGCGGCAAAGAAGGTTCGAGCTGGCAAGGACGGCTACACGCAGGCGCTGTTTGGGAAGGACTGGGTGAAGACCTCAGTGGCCAACATCACCTACCATACCACGCAGAAGAAGATCAAAGAAGGCCTCTCCTGCGAGGAGGGGCCAAGCCACCGAGTTCGCAGCAAAAGAGCTGCTGCTAAAG